TTCTCGACATGTTCACCCGCGGAGACAGCGCATTCCAGGTACAGCGACTGATAGATGAGGCCGAGAAGATATTGTAATTGTACATGCCACCCGTCTACCCCCTCAGCGGGAGCACATGCTGCACTAGACACGTCTGCCTACAAAGCGGGCATTCGGGCTTCTCCCTGGCCCAGTCTCCGATACACGTCCAACAGAAGACATGACCACACGTCGTCACACTCGGATCCTTCATCTCTTCCAGGCACAGCGTACATTTCCGATTGCCACCGCCAATCCATCCCATTGTTTCCTCTCCCTCCAGCTCGTATCTTGCCTTGTTTAACGCGGGTGTCTGTGTCCACTTTTGCACGTCTGACGGTGCCGCTGTGGGCACCGCGGACGCTGCGTCGAATAGTAGCGCGTTGTTGGCGCTGTAGGCGTTGGGATCCAGAGACACCTCTGCGCCGCCACCGACAATGGCCGACGTGCCTTGCGGGTGGCCGCCACCTACTGCCGCCGTCGAAGAGGTGACAGTATTGTGCACGTGTAGGTATGCCTGTACAGCCATCTGTAGGACTAGCAATACGCCCAGGACTTCGTAGCCTGCGCGATTGTCGCCTTCGGTCACCTGGCGCGTGAAGATGTACCTGAGCCCCCATATCCGTTTCGAGAGGTGGTAGTAGCTCCCTGAGAAGTAAAACGTTGCCAACGAGAGAGCGTAGACTGGCGATGGTGATGTGATGGTGTCGAGGTTTCGGAGTAGGTAGTTTTGCACACGCATGCCTAATGGTCGCCCTATCTGTGTCTTGCTCCCGCTCTCCTGTGCCTGATGCTGTGCTCGTGCCTGTTGTCGTGTATACCACCGCAGATTTGCCTCGAGCTTTGCGCGCACTCGCCGCCTAAAGGCCGGCAATGCCCTCCCAAGCACATATGGCCCCAAGATGCAACCGAGTATGTATCCAGCTCTGCGGCCCAGCGCCGGTAGACGTCCGCTTTCGCTTTCCACCTGGACAATGTCTGTGTATTCCTCGCCCAAGGTCCGGTTCCCTATCAGCGTCGTCAGACCGAGGTAGAGAAGTTCTCCGACTACACGCGTCTCGGACGCATACGTATGCGACGTGCGCGCGCCATAGAGCTTGCGCAACAGCGTCGAGAGCTGATCGAGAAGCACACCGGAGAAATAGGCGTCTTTCTGGTGTGACCGAATAATGTCGGGAGAGGCGGCAAAGGGGTAAGCGTAGCGCGTAGAAGAGGACATGCTTGTGTTCGCGTACAAGACTGACGGTGGTCGTTCTGTTGTGTTGATGCATGTCCCAGGTCAGCCGCGGCCTCGGCTGAACCCTGGAGACATCGCATCACGTGTCATGTAACCTTCGAGCACTCGCTCCAGCGGCGGACAGAATTCGTGTCGCATTCTGCAAGAAATATATATGACGTATACATCAACTTACGCTATTACTGCTAATGTTTGATACCGCATGAGCACGGGCCGGCACGAATCTGTCATCCGCTGGCGCTCGTGGTGGACATTCAAGGCCTACCCTTACGTCAAGCTTTGTCCAACCATTCTCCTCTGCATTACCATGAATTTTCATGTTCGTGGGGTTGAGGTTCCTTGACCAAAGTGATTATGGCTCAGACGTAATGATCAAACACAAAGTTTGGTTAAATGGACGCGACCTCGGGATGATCTAATGCCTGGGTAACCTCTGGTGCTATGTGGCTTCTTACATGCAACGACTTCCTGAACAACATACTGCATCCATTAGACCTTCTATTCTATGCGCTAAGCTATGGAAAAGGGACGCGCATGGACACAACTCGAAGCTTGTTCGCCATACAACGCGCAGAATACTCTGGATAGACTGGACAAAGGTTACAACAATGCCGGGCAGGCATATCTCGAAGCGGAAACAAATTGTGCAGGGTGCATCTTGCCTCGCAAGTGCAAGAATCGGGAGGTGAGATCCCCTAATTCCGTATCGCGTGTTGCTCTCGTTGCCTCACTTGCTGAAGATTTGTATATCTGCATATTGAACATCGGTTTCTTGTATTGTCGAGAAAAGAACCAATTTTAAGCTTAGAGAAATGGCTACATACAAATTGCTCCAATAAGTACCCGTAAAAGGGGTTCGAGCGGTACACCAAGATCGGATCGCATGTTTGCACAGTCCGCTGCTCAACTTGTTGTCATAGGGTACAAATCGTGCGTAGCTGCTCTTTTATCATATGCGCCCATGCATACTTTACATACGTATCTGTCACCAAGAGCTGTCATCAGGCATCACTCTTCGTTCAAAAAAGACTGCAGAACACCTCAATCGATGAGACTATTTCTGATTAGACATGTGATCCCATTCAAATCCAAAGATGGCGGTGGCAGACACACTTCTGCATGCTATCCACATAGACTGACTATGCATGCAGCCAAGAAGACCGCCGACGCCACCTTTACGAAGGCGCCCATGCTAGCCATTTATGTCATCAACCAGAATATATAAATTCAGGTCATATAGTGGTAGAGACTCGGGTAGAGGACGAACGTGGCAAGTTGTGCAAGGGACCACTACCAGCATATAGGTTGCGTATGGGGAAGGACCAACAAATACTGACGATAGCGCCCACGCACGAATGCGTCTGTCCTGGAAGCAAATGTATTCGTATGATCTAGGCTGCCAAATGTGTTTCGGAATGATCAGAATGACGATCCCAAGATTTCAACGTTGTACATCCGAGGGGATTACCACTTGGGCAGCATCCAAATGTTTGACGAGTTTTAGGGAGCGCATGGTCTAGTTGCTGCTGGATGATAGTATAATTTAATTGGGACTTTGTGTCAGTGTATCGAACAGCTCGGAGAGTAACGAACTGTCCCGACTCGTTGTCTCGAATGCGCAATGGAATTTGCTTCGGTGAGAGGGCGATCACGAGAAATCGCTGTGCTAAAACTTAGTTTGTTTTGCATGATGTAAATACATCTTGATGTACAGATATCTCTGGGATTACCTGAGGTTTCGTCGACATTACCACGGCAAAGGCGAAGAGAAACTGTTATACTATTAATCTCACTGCGAAATCGGGAGGGGCTTATACCTCACGGGATCGATTCGAGACCCTACCTCGGTAGTCACAGCTTGGTCTGCTCAGCCCAAAGGTTTTGCAACACTTCACAAGGCCAAATATTTCTGTCTCAACGGTCACGATTACCAGAGAGTGCCCGCAGCATCACGACCCAGGCCTGAAGATTTGCCACAATGCCAAATTTACGAGCCAACCACGACAGGACCTGAACCCGGCGGGCCATCGAGACGCGCAGTCATGCTACATCTTTCCAGTAGCATGAATACAGAGTGGGGCGAGAATATCGATGACATAGAAGATGAAGATAGCCCTGCGAAATACTACGCCGTGGCAAGAGGACAAAAATTCAGCCTATACGACAGCTGGTACGGAAACAACGGCGCACAGATCCAAATCATGTTTCAAGGGCGCGAGGTTTCGAAGGTCCGAAGACCGCGATGCCATCATCCAATATCTATGCGAGAAAGACATTCCTCAATCCGCGATACGCTTCTTTCGAGAATCTCTCAAACACCGATCAGATCTTAAGCCCCAGCCTAGGAAATCTGGCAGAGAAGAGATTGGACGCCTTATATCGTCGCAACAGCTGGAAGGCCCTGGAAGGCGTACAGCGGTGATCGACGCTATCCGCGACTTGCTCATCCAGTATCTCCTTCCCGAGGGTATCTCGGTCCCGAGGTCGACGAGGAAGGTGAGGAGGAAGGTGCCATTCTGAGCGATGATCAGACACTCGAAATCTATGAGAACATGTGCCGGCGAACGAAGGGACCCGGCCATAATCCCATCAACGCCTGTCTTTTAGCTTTGCTTTGAAAGACGCGCCGTACGTAAATATTTTCAACTTCATTAACGCTTGCCGTACTGGGAAAGAGCCCAAGACTTTTACCGACCGGTCCACATTTCGAGACTACACGACCATGCCAGGAATGAGAATCGACCTGGCGCCAAAAAGAACGAATTGCTGGCACCACTTTTGCAGGACCTCACCAAGGGTCGAAATGCTCACGATCCGGTAGCTCAGAGGCAGCGGCTGCTGGATGAAAGGAATCGAAGGTTGCGCGAACGTTGACTCGATCCCAGATCGTTCAATACCGAAGTCAAAACTGAGCGGCTAGATCCTACTCAAGTTCCGATCTGATAACACTACGTCTTCGTCATCAGTAGCAGTCGCCCTTGGCTATCTGCAACTCGACTTTCCGAGCCCAGGGCAAGAGGACCCATATGACAGCGAAGTCTGCACAGCATCCGTGAGCGCAGGAGCAAGTGGACCATCCAAGTCGGCATCTGACTTACACGCACATTGGCAAACCCTGCAGGATTGTCCACCACTAAAGCCGATGTTTCCCGACCTATGTACCGCAGTTACTGCGCCGGCGAACCTCAACCACGAGGAAGCAACCAGTCACATGTCGATCAAGCAAGAATCGGTACCAGACGCACATTCCGCGAAGCAAAACATTGAACCTACGAGATCGGCCGGAAAATGTGCGCGTGTTGTGCAAGGTGTGCAATCCTATCCGTGCAAGAAGGAGCGACGCAACCTTGATAATTTGGATACGAAATTGTAGACTTTATTCGGCAACACTATATCTTCAACCATTGATTATGGAGTACATAGCTACATTCAACTTATCCGTTACATCATGTCATCTTATTTTGACTTTCTTGTTCCTCCATCCAATCCGCTCCTTGTATTCAGTGACCAGGTCTGCAGTGCCCTCAAGATCTTCTTTGGGAAGCCAATCATGGCTGTCTTCGTATCCCTCCCATTTGACGAGATAGTAGTTCTTCTCGTGCTCTTGAAAATGCGCCACGATGGCCTCTGCAGCATACTCTTCCGTAGCATCCGCTCCTGCATTGTCTTTGTCGTCATGTTCGAGCGACTGTCGTCCTGAATACAATGTGCGCATACATTTATGTTTGGCTACCGAGGTATCTGTCCGATTTGTATTACGGCAAAGGTAGTTGTGGGGGTATTGTGTCGTCTTAGTCTGATGCAGCAAGCGATGAATGATCAGAGGAAGACGCTGTCTGCGGAGGGACGTCCACCGCTCTGGAACCCAATGTAGCTGGGGAGCTAGAGTCTCGCGCGGAAGATGGAGCTGCGATTGGAGCTTCTTGGTGGACACTGTCAGCAGACGGTGAAAGAGCGGATACGATAGGGTGAAGTTGAGATGGAAGAGTGCTGTCGATCCCAGATGGTCTAGAGAACGGATGATCTTTACTGCTGCCCGCACTCCCAGCCTCAATTGCGACCGCTGGTAAATCACCGGTTGTAGAGTTTGCATCATCGTCGCCGAGCGCTAAATAGTGCACATGTTCTGGTTCTGAAACTTCTGAAAGTTCCCATCGAGGGACAGAGATGGATGCTCTCCCAGGTATTGGTAATACCGAAAGAGCGCTGTTGGCGACAAAAGCTGAGCGTATGATGTTGGGCGATGTCTGCGTGGGTTGTCCGATGTGTTCGGTTGTACGATCGAACACCATAGGTTCGCTGTCTACCAGCTCTTCGTGCATGTCGTTCTTGAGCTGCCGGGAGCTCACGACCAGGCCTCTCGATCTTCCCCTGCATTTCCCGCGATTGGCTCTCGGTCGACCTCTTGGACGTGCGGTCGGCTCTGCAGCGAAGGCGAGCCCGCTGAGCATGCGGCTTCCTTTGTTGGCGTTTGGCGCTTTGGCATTCTTTTGCAGTTGGCGACGCGCCAGGTCTTCGGCCTCGGTGCGCATTGCAATGTTCTCTGCCTCTGCCTCGAGCCTGAACTGTTCTGTTTCATATCGTTCCAGTTCAGCTGGAGAAACGAACTGCAGTATGCGTTGCAGGTCCACATCCTCAAGCTGTGTGAGAGCAACACCGTCCCGTGCACTCCCCGCTCCACCGGTATATGTGACCTCTACAGTGTATAGCTCCCGCTTGAAGTGATGTTCGGTATGTCGGCGATGCAGTATTCGCGTTCGCGCATTCGATATAGGGCAGACGTTAGGTAGTCGTGCGGTGACAGTGGCAGGCTCCTTGCGAACGCGCCATAATTGGTCGTACACCTCGGCGCCAGGCGTGTATGCTTCCCACCCCCACTGCGCATATTTTAGTAGTGTTTGGTTGTGTCGATTGTCTCGTGATTTGGCGGTAGCATACTATCTGCGTCTTGCCTTTGCCTCGTCCTCTGCCACCTCTAGCGCTGCGACCGCCTCTGCGCTCCCTGCGCGACATGCCTATTCTGTACATGCGTCTGAAGCGATGCACCGAAGGCCCGATAACCCGCAAAGGCGATAATTGAAGCCACAGGTGTCGGTGTCCGCCATGATGAGAGTTGGGCAGTTGGCATGTGACGCGATCAGGTGTTTCCTGGATTTCGCTGGGCTTATGTCAGCCACCGAGCTATCCCCATTTCGGGTTCCATACCATCTGGGAACCACACGCGCAGCTCTGATCGTTGGACTCACACGGCGGAAACTTTGCGGAACCGTTCAAACAGCTCGAATCAATTTACCCCGAATGCTGAGCAATGATTCTGTCATCAGCCACATCGGCCGTAACTCAAGAGTGAAGCTTAGCGTTCACTGGAGACGGAAACGTCCAATGATCTTATTGCAAATCAGCTAGCGTTACCTTAGCGTCACCTTAGCTTTCATCCGTCAGCAACCCACAGCAAGCACGAAGTGTCAGGGCCTCAGGACATATGAGCAGTGGAAATGCCCAGTCATCCATCATAGCGCCCAACATGTCTCATCCCATACTTGGATGCCAGATTGCCCCACGGTATCATCACGAATACGATTCAAGCTCACCCAGCGAGTCCGAGCTGGGAATACAAGTCTCCGCCGCCGCCAGCTCCACTCCTCTAGAGCAGCACACCACGGGTGTCAAGACTGAGACGGTCCATGGCACCACCTCCACTCCGATTAGGCCAACAACGCTGCAGCGTGGCCGCACAAAGAGTAGCCGCAGGATCGCGCAAGAACAGGCGCCTGTTGGGTTCTTTCACTCGTCCATGGCCGGTGTCAGGATTCACGTGATCAGACTCTGGCTCCGTACAAATCTCATTCTTGCCATTGCCATCATGGCCTTTCTTTGCCTTTTCTGGGGTGCACTGTTTCGTCAAAATGCAAACGTGAGGGGTCTGAGCATTTCCGTTGTAGACTTTGATGGCCAGCCACCGTATACCGGGGTCGCACCCTTCGTGGGTCCATTTGTCACTCGCACTATTCGCAACATCATGGAGGAGGGTGGCGTGGTGCCCGGCTATAGCTTTGCGTCGGCCGAGGACTTTAACAACGACCCGCTGAACGTACGCGACAGAGTCTACGACTTCCATGCCTGGGCGGCCGTCATCATCAATTCCAACGCCACAGCAATGCTCGATACAGCAGTGAAACTGGGGAACGCGAGCTACGATCCCTTAGGTGCCTGCCAGATCATCTATAACTCGGCGCGCGATCAAATTACCTCCTCAACTTACATTGTACCCAGTATGAACACCCTCCAGAAGCGTGTAGTTACCGAATTTGGCCGCGCGTGGATCGCACATCTTCTCCAGAACAACGTTTCGGTTACCGACATGCACCTGGACATCGCACCCCAGGCCCTTTCTCCCGGAATTGAGTTCACAGTCAACGATTTGCGCCCCTTTGGACCGCCTGTTGCTACACCCGCGGTCAGCATTGGCCTCATATACCTGAGTGAGCAATGTTCTTGTACAAATCGCATGTGAGATATACTAACGTCTTACACCGCTATCTAGTCATCATCTCCTTCTTCAGCTTCACGTTCTTCTTACCTATCCATCTAAAATATCTCTCGCCCAAAGGTCATCCACCGCTGCACTTCTATCAGCTCATCGTGTGGCGCTACATCGCGACGGTCGCATCTTACTTCTTCCTCTCCCTCGTCTATTCCTTTGTTAGCCTCGCCTACCTTATGCCCATGGACCGTCCCACTGCCTCGCATAATCAGCCTGCCAGTAACCCTAACGCCTACGGCAGAGGCACCTTTATGGTATACTGGATGGGCAACTGGATTGGAATGATTGCTTTTGGTCTTGCGAGCGAGAACATGGCCATGCTCTTGGGCTCCCCCTGGACGGCGTTGTGGCTCATTTTCTGGGTCATCAGCAATGTCGCCACTGGGTTTTATGCTCTCGAGCTTGCACCGAGCTTTTATCGATGGGGCTATGGTTGGCCGATGCACAATGTCGTCGAGCTCACACGGTCAATCCTGTTCGATCTGCATCCACGAGTTGGCTTGAACTTTGGAATCTTGTTTGCTTGGGCTGCGATAGACTCGATCTTGTTCCCGCTTTGCTGCTATTATATGAAGTGGAATACTGCGCGGGTTCGCAAGAATGCAGCCAAGGCCGAGGCGGATTGGCATGCCAAGATGGACAAGGAGAGAGAAGAGCCTGGCCTATTAGCAAGGGTCACTACGCTAGGGGATAAATAGGGTTGATAGTGCAAGAACGACGCAAGCCATAATCTTCCTATAGATCGCATGAAACAAGTGCCCTTGTATCCCCCAATCCTAGTCATCCCGAACACGTCGCGGCAACGCACGAAAAGTAGACTAAGGAAGGCTTGATGCAAGCTACCTCTAGACTTTTGCCTTCCAGTTCCAGCCCACCAGCGATACCCTAGTAGCAAGTAGAAGACATCCTCCTACAAAGAAAGACACACCCGCCCAAACATTCGCATACGTGTAGTTGCCGTTGTGGCTCTGGATGATCGCTCCAGCTAGTGGTGGACCTGTAAAACTCGATATACTCACCACGGTGAAGGCCATGCCCATCCTCACACCAGACTTCTTCAGATCCCTCTCCCGGCTCATACTTCCGATTACCGCAGGCCAGAGCGCCTGAATAACGGCGCTCCCGCTTCCATATATGACAGCAAATACGTACAAGGTGGCGATGGAGTTGATCCTAATCCATACGAACATCATGATACCACAGACAAACGCGAATGGTATAAGAACATTAAGCCCACCAATCTTGTCAGCATAGTAGGTCGGCAGTAGACGAAAGATAAATCCCATGCATACTTGCACGAGAAGCAGATTGATACTTTGCTGGTAACTGGCGCCAAGGACATTTCGTGCATAGCTTCCAATGTAGAAGAAAGCGAAATACAAGCCCCAGAAACTGAAAAAGGCACCAGCACAGTACAGGGCATATGGCAGTTCCGTGAAGCTTGCCCAGTCGACCAATGGACCGCTTTTCCTGGGAGGGAGCCGAGTACGGTATAAACCGATGGTGATGGCATTCATGAGCAACATGATAAAGCCGATGATGCGTATCGTCCATGGAAAGCCCAAGCTAGGTAGACATTGCTGCACGATAACTGGGAAGATGACGCCCCCAGTGCAGGACCCCAGCGCTGTGAAGCCCAGCGCGAAAGCGCGACGCTTGACAAAGTAGGTGGAGACCAGGGCCATGGAGGGACAGAACTGCAACCCATTTGCAATTCCCAGACATACGCCCTGAGAGAGAAAGACATGCCAGACACTTTTGCTCTCCGCCAAGGTAAAAATACCGAGTAGCTGGAAGCACGCACCAGCGATATAGACAGGGTGAAAAAGTCCAGCGTCCGTAGCACGGCCTGTAAAAGTGCCAAGGAAGAAGAGGAGGAAGACCTGAAGCGATCCAATCCATGAAATGGTCGAGGAAGATATGCCGAGGGTGTTTTCGTAGTAGGTCTGATACACACCAAATGACGTAAAGAAGCCAAAGGTGGTCAGGATAGTTAGGTGCGTGCATAGGACTTGAGTCCAAGCTGTGAGGCCGCCATCGGGAGCGGGGCCTGGGTCGAATGATGCCGCTGAGCGGCGCGAAAGTATGCGTGCGAGAGCAGGCTGGCTTGGCTTGTCGTGCGTGGGTTGCGCATCTTGGTGGCCAGCTTCAGCCTTCAGGGTGGCTTCTTGTATCTCAACGTCGCGCGCGCCAGACGATGTCTGCAGGCTGCGCTCCATGTCATTGGTCAAGTCTGCGATCTTGTTCAAGCCGACGGATCGATTGTTCATTTGTGCGGGGTAACAGCGATAACAGCTAATACTAGGAGGAGAGCGAAGCTTAATACCGCGCGGGAGGCTCGTGAACAAGAATCTGTGACGTGCAGAACGTGTTGTTCTTCGTATGCCTATAACGTAGGTGATAAGCGAGTGGAACCTTTTTGCTAAGACTCCACTAAAACCACCACTATGCACGATAGTTAACGCAGGTGCACTCGCTATAGGTTAACAACGAGCTGCTTTACGCTCGTATCAAGGAGCTACAACACGAGCTTAACGTTATTAAGAAGCGCCTAGCGCAGCGGACGACATTGACCACACAAGACGGGGACAACTAGCACGGCGGCGCTGTCTTCTACAGTCTTAGGAAGCTTGCTAGCGAGCGCGCGCGCAAAACTGCAGAACTTGATAAAGCCGCGCGGCTATAACTCTAAAAAAACTCGCGATAGAGAGGCAAAGGCGGCAGAAACAGCATACAAAAAGCGGCAGCAAGAGGGGATATAGGTAGCTTAACAGCGTGCTGCCAAGGAGCGTCGTGAGGCGAAGAAAGCATGAGCTAAAGCGCTGGCTGCTAAACGAGTGCTTAAAAAGTAGTAACGACGACGCTGCAACCGCTTAAAAATTATACAATATACTTAATAAGCGTAAGCAAAAAGCCTTACACAGTACTGTAAACAATCTAACAAAGCGGTGTCGTATTGTAGTTCCGCGAAGTTAGGTTATCGCTGTTCCTCTAGCTGCGTCTTTTCTACCTAAACTTACTACGCGCGGCCGCAACATCAAGGAACTAGCTAAATATAAATAGCACAATTGAAGTGCAAGGCTCTATATAGCAATACACTAGCTTTTCTCGCGACAATAGCTTTTGGGTGTGATTCTACAGCTTTATCTTTCTATTGTTAGTATCTTGTTAGTGTTACAAGACGCTACAAGCACGTGGTTAAGAGCTTATAAGAAGCGTTAATCGTAGCTACGTATAATATCTAGTGTAATATAAGACGTTGCGTAAGGAATAAAATAGAATGCAAAGTAGTAAAAGATATAGCTAGGGCTGTGCGCAGCGCTTAGGCCTTAGCTAGCTAATTAATAGATTTTAGGTAGACTAGCGAGCTACCTAAAATCTGTGCGTTTAGGTGTTAAGAGAACTATAGTAGTTACTATAATAGTACCTCTCTCTTACTCTTAAGCTCCTATAAGTAGAGATTATATTATATAGTGTAGTAGTTTAGTTGCTAGCTTTATATTAGTTTTAGGCTATATAGTAAGAACCTTACTCTTACTCTTGTATTACTTTAGATAGCTCTAAGATATTAGAAAACCTCTTATAGAAACTAGCTATAGCTATGTTATTCTTTAGGTCTGCAGCGGGTTTCTAGGTTATCTTATTATAGCCTATTTATTTAATATAGTATTTATGTTGTCTACAACGCTTATTATAATAGAGGTCTTTAATACTTTCTATAAAGTATTCTTCTTTATTGTCTATAACAATAG